CTTTGTGAAGCAGCATCGCTGTAAATTATAAAACCAGAAGTAGATTTATGCTAACGATCTATGGCGGAGGGGCCATGGCTGAGATAGGGTTGCCAGCGCTCCTGCTGTGACCCGGGGGGGAGGGGGGCTGAGGAGGGGGAACATTACAGAGGCTTTGGTGTTTTACCTTCTTTTCTCCCACAGATCACTTGACTGAGTGTGGGCAAATCAGGGTGGGGTCAGGCAAATATTAAGCCTACGGGCAGGGACAGAGGATCTGCTTTATATCATAGAATCTCAAGTTCAGTCCCTGACGTCTTCAGTTAAAAGGATCAGGTAGTAGCTGTTGTGAAGGACCTCTGTCTGAAACTCTGGGGAGCTGCAGAGTAGCCAGTACTGAATTTGATTGACTCAGTGGAAGGCAGCTTCATGTGTTCGTGAGTGTGGGGATACCCACACAGCACAGCAATAGGTGGGAGACTTCTGAAAAAAAGAATGTTTTGTGAAGTTCCATTTACTGTTTACATGACACAGAAGTTGCTGCACAAACTAGACATAACATGTAACATGTGACTGCCACAGGGACTGGCAGCCAGATGGCGGCTGTGAGTTCCCTGTGGGAATTCAATTTTGTAGTACACTGGGGTCCGATTCTGCTGGGAGCCATTATTTGTTTCACTGGGAACTGGGAATTTAGATCATGGCATCAGATTGTTATAAATGTTACTGGGCTATACTGCAACAGCAATGACTGATTTTTGAAAATCCAGGGGCATGGTGGGGAAAATGGTGGCTGCAAAGGGCTGATGGAAGGGAAATGGTGTGGGCAGGATCTTGAAACACATACCTTCTCATCCAGTCAGCTTCCTATTGTGATTGCATTATGTTCTTTCCAAAAATACTGGACCAAACCAGTTTTAAGAATAATCTCTTATATATAAAGCTCATTTCGTGTGAGTCCTGGAACATGCTCTCACAGGCTTTGGCCAGGAGACCTGTCAATCATAAGGTCTCGCCATCCATTGGTGGCTGCATTGGCAAGGTCTCGCCATCCATTGGTGACTGCATGTCCATGTGTTGTCAACGGCCCACCCATCCTCTGACAGAACCGCAACCCAGCCTTTCTGCCTCAGTAAGCTGCGAAGCGGCGGAGGCGGTGCGTGCTCCGGCGGCTGAAAGGGCTTGCTCGCCCGGCACCCTGCCTTCTTGCCTCCTCCTCCCCCGCCCTGGTGGCTCTTCTGGCCTCCGTGGTGTGCTGCCTGTTGCCCTGACGCCAGCCTCTGCTGCTTTGCCTGGACCCGCACTCCTCCGCCCCTCCCTCACTCCACCTCCGACAGGGGCCGTGGGCCGGCTCTGGTGAAGGTGTGGCCTCTAGGTGGCCTTCTGTCCTGCTGCCGACTGCCTGCGGCTCCTGGTGAGCACCAGGCCAAGAGATCCTAGAACTGTCTGGCAGCTGCAAGTTCTAATTCTTAGCGTTGTGCTAGTAGCAAGCTAGATTTGTGGATTTTTTTAGGGACTGAGAGAGCTCTGAAGGAACTGTGAATGGCCCAAGGTCACCCATCTGGCTTCATGTGGAGAAGTGGGGAATTGACCCCAGTTCTCCAGACTAGAGTCCGCTGCTCTTAACCACTACACCATACAGCCTCCCAGTTTTGAGAAAGAACATAAGAAGGACAGGGAAAACCCGAAAAGTAGATAATTAGAGGACAATGTCAAACAGATACTTAAAAAAAAAAAAAACACAAGCCCACTGCAGTTTGGAAGCCAAGGCAGAGAAAAAGTTCATTGTGAATGCAGCACATGTCTTGCTGTAAACTCTGGTAACTTGGTCATTTTGCAGCAGGTTTTTCTAAAACTTGGCAACATTAAAACACAGACCCTCTGTGCATGTTTAACAGATTGTACAGATTGTCATTGTATATGTTTAACAGACTGACTGGAGAGGATTCTAGGATCTCTTTTTCTCAGATACTGGACTCAAGAAAATGGTAATTGGGAGAAAACAGATCTAAATATTCAGGATTGTTTAAATACTTTCCTTGTTATCTACAAAATCTGCCTTCTAAATAAAGAGGGAAAACTAATTTAAACTCCCTTAAAGCCCCAACTACAGGTGCTGATGAGGAAGAAATTGAGAGCTTTTACCCAAATGTCTAGGAAGAAACTGATTTTGAACAATATGTGCTGTTAATCATAGGTGACCAGAACACAAAAGCAGGAAACAAAGCAGAATCAAATATTGTTGGAAGATTTGGGCTGTCCTGTGAAGACAATGGTGTTCATTGTGAAAACGGGCTCCAGGCAACCAAATAGACAATTGTACACATGGACATCACCAGATGGCCAATATAGAAATCAGATAGATTAAATAATTGGAAGCAGAAGATGGAGAAGCTCTATTCTCTCTGCTAAAACAAGACCAGGAACTGGCTGTGATACAGACCATGAATTGTTCAATCAATCCATCTCATGTTGGGTCTTCCTCTTTTCCTGCTGCCTTCAACTATTCCTGGCATTATTGTCTTTTCCAGTGACTCTTCCCATAATGTGACCAAAAGTATGATAGCCTCTGTTTAGTCATTTAGTTTCTAGAGAGAGTTCAGGCTTGATTTGATCTAGAACCTGTAGGAAGTTCCAGATGCAATGTCCCCTGTCTCCAGACTGAGTGGCAAGAGAGGCTAGATAGGCACACTAACCTTTTTTCCTGTATCTACTCTTCTGCCACTGTCCTCTTTGATATTCAGATTGTAATCTCAGGGACCAAAAGACTTGCTCTCTACCAGCATGCACCAAGAGTGGGACATGCTGTCCTCTCTTGGCACTATGAGGCAGATGGGCCTCTCGCCATACGCCTCCCTCCTTTAGCTAGTAAGTTAGTCACCTGTCAATTTCTGCTCTTTCCTATCCAAAGTGTGCTTCTCAAATAAAGAGAGAAGTATTTCTCTTCTAAACTTGCAATGTGGCTCTGTGTAGCTTTGTAAGATGAGTAACCTGGTAAAGTGACGCTCCTGCGTTTGTGGCTTTACTTAAGCACTCTGCTGACTAATGGTGACTGGACTAACCAACCAGTTAACCTCAATAGAACCTACTTATATGTCTTTTTGGCAGTTCATGGTGTCTGTAAACCTCTCTCTCAACGCCACATTTCAAATGAATCAACTTCTTCCTGTCAGCTTTCTTCACAGTCCAACTGAACTCAAAAATCCAACTCTTCCACTTTTCCAGTGTTCTGTGCTAAAATAATCAAATGAGATTGTGCTAAAAGGTAAAGGTTACGTCTAGAAAATACCCCAGGTTAAAACTATAAAAGCCTTAAGTATATCGGGAATTTACTAAGCAACCTGCAAGGAGGATACAGCAAGCAGATTAGAGTATAAATAGAACATATTTCAGTTTAGCGGCATTTCACAAATTAACAAAATCCTAGCATCGTTATTATAAAAACAAACACAGTCATTCAACAAACACTATAACATCAAAAAACCGTTTGGAGCCATCTGGAACACTAAATAAGCAGTTAGAAAGATGGTACAAGTCTGTGAGTAGTACTAATTCCTTTGCTGAAGAAACTTTGAACTGTGGGAAAGATTGAAATAAGAATATCAATTCCACAAGAGATCATGATACTACTAAAGAACCCACATGTTCACTAAAGTAAAAGTTGCCTGCAACAATGAGCATGCTTACAACCATTTCCTTTAAAATAAATGACAATCAATCTGTATTTCTTCTGTTCATATGGAAAGTAATAAAATAAATGAAAACACAAGTCATCTTCATGACATGCTTCTAAGTCTTTTGCCTCTCTTGGTCCTTAGCAACCCCTGTAGGCCATCGTTATGTAGAAGTTAGAGTGTCAGACTAAGATCTGGGAGACCCAGGTTCAAATCCCTTCTCTGTCATGGAAGCTGGCTAGGTGATCTTGGGCCAGTCACACACTCTCAGCCTAACCTACTTCACAGGGGTTTTATGAGGATAAAGTGGAGAAGGGGAGAATGTTCTGAGCCACTCTGAGTACCCACTGGGGGAAAAAGTGGGGTATAAATGAAATAAATAAAAATAGGCAATCACTTATTACTTAGGGCTGCTAGATCCAGTGTTTCTGTTCTACTAGTGGAGGACATTTCTACTGAAAGAAGGAATGTTCCACCAGGGCAAATGGACTTACACTGGTAGAAATCACTTCTTTCACATGGAATGGCCCTAGTGTCAGAGGCTCTAAAGAATCCAGGACAGGGTAGAATGTCACATTATGGTTAAAAGTAATGGAGGCTGGAAACAGATATGCAGGGGAGAATTGGTGGGATGGGGTCATTACCCCTTCCCCTACCCACTGATTTTCTTCTACAATTCCTGACTGCACATTTTCCTCCACACCAGGTTTACTTCTCTTCAGGACCCCGGTTAAGGAAAACAGGGCTATGAAGGTGAGATTGCAAGGAATTACTGGTAAGGGACACACATCCTTTCCAACCAGTTGATACTCCCCTACAAATGCCATCATCATCTCCCTTTCTATTATGGGGCCAATGTGAGCTTGGAACTCCAGGTCTGCCATATAAAATGTGGGTTCATCTTTGCATCACACCAGAAAGGGATGGCTATTCCTTCAAAGTTTATTTTTTATGTATTTTACTTATGCATGCTAGAGACCAGGTATTAATCAACTGGAGTCAGAAAGTGCTATAATCTTTTAAATCCTCCTGAAGGGTCAGTTGTGAATTGAAATGTGGTGGGTTTTATTTACTAATCAATACATAGCTTTTCACAGCCTTCTTTGGATTTGTCTTATACAGTGCTCATTTTGGGGAGCTTCCCTCTTACCAGATTATGCTTTCTAGCAATGCCTTCAAATACAAGTACAATTTTGTGAGACATGACCATAGCGATGAATGTAGAGAAGATACTGAATTAAACAGTAAATTATACTTTAAGCCATATGCATAGTGTACATTTGGGCACAGAGGATATGCTTTTTTATCATAATGGTAAATAAATCTGCCAGGAGGCTTACAACTTACTTAAGATTGAGTCCTCCACTTTAAAAATAGTTTTCCTCTTCCCCAGTCTCATTGTTCCTCCCATATCTCCAGGATTGTGTTCAGGCATGTCAATGACCTTAACAAAGAAAAATATTTACCTTTGTTTACATTATTTATATTCTGAACAAAAAAAAGATGTGTGATCACAAACACACACACACATATTACCCGTGCTTCTAGTACAGTAACACTGTATTTAATAAGAACAAGTTCCTCCCATAATATGATGTGATCACTGTTGTAATCCATGTCTGTTGAGGGTCTTGGGGGAATTTATATAACATTGACTACTGATAGCACTGAGCAAGATTTTCTTCAAAGTGAAGATGCAATGCCAAAATATTTTATCAATGTGGATATTTTGAGATAAATATTTTCTAGAAATCTTAGGCATGATCTAGCAAAGGTTAGGGATTTTTAAAGTCCCACTGATTTTACCAGGACAGGTAAGTATGCAAATATGAAAACAAAAGAATACCACTCTGTGATAGGTAGTCTGACATGACTGATTTAATACATGGAGGACCTTCAATTACTCAGCACTATTTCAACTGAGCTTGAATTTCACTTCAGTATCTACAGTGGTATTACTTTAAGCATCTAGGTGGTTTTTACTAGACTGCATTGTAGAGGACACAAAAATTAAAAGATAGTTCTCAACTGAGCTTTAATTCACTGACACATAAGACGCCATACTGATCTCTAAGATGTGTAGTCACCTGTATATGAGTATGGTTGTGTGAGTGTATATGAGTATGCTTGTAGATCACCGAATGATTGCACCTTAATTTCGTTGTACTATGCACAATGACAATAAAGTATATTATTATTATTATATTGTTCTGTTGTAATTTTCTGCTGAATGAACTATTATTGATCACTTTCTCTTCTTTTTCTGTCTACTATTGAACTCTTTTATGAATATATGTAATTACAAGTATGCAAGAATCTTTTCAAATATTTACAAAGTATATGTTCCAGCCAAAGTCAAGTGCTTTTATCTATCAGTAAAACTGACATAGGGCTAACACAACAAAAAGAAAGCATTATTCTCATCGAGGGTAGATAAACTGACTTGCAAAGAAACATCCCATTGGGCCACTGTCCTGCATGGCTGGCAGAGGCTGCTGCAGCCAGCAGCAATGTGTGAAGAGGCAATGTGAGTGCATGTTGGTCATCACTGTGCAGACAGGAGGAGGAAGGTAAGAGGCACTCTTGGCTGGACCGCCCTGTGGGCACTGCCTTTTCCTTCTCACAAGCAGGGACAGTCAAAATGTGAGCATTGCAGCTGCTGCCTCCTCCTCACTTCTTTATGAGGTTTCAGCAGCAGCTGGTGAGGCAGTGTTGACGACTGTTCTTACATCGTGGTGAAGATGAAATGGTCACGAGGAGGAGGCTAGGCAGCTGTCACCTCTTCACCTCAGCCATCGTAGCCTGGCAAGAGTAGAGAACCTGCCTAAATGTCACTCCTCAAGTTGGCTCCAGGTTTGTTTTGATTTCCCAATCTGCTCAATTCTTATACCTGTGAGATGTGCAAGGACAAAATGTTGCCACAGACAGAGCTGCAGAAAAAAAATACCCTGAATCTTGCTTGGTTTGGAAGTTTGAAGAGTCCGACAACTTTCACAAGTTCAGAGGAGATTGTAGAAGAAATTCCCAAAACAAGACATCCCTATCAATCCAATTGTCAGTCTCTAGTTCTGCTGGAGTCAGTAAGAATGCCAAGCAGCAAAAACAACAATCCTGACACCAGAGTGGTTCTGGTGGGAGGAAGACTCCAGCAATTCAGGCAATTTGGCAGAGATCTACCTCTAGCAGGTGGGTAAAAGAAATAAACAGCTACCGCATAGAGTTTTCTGCTCCACCATCAAACTGCCCTCAGTGCAATAAATCATTAAGATGTTTTTGACACCAGTGTTACAGCTATATGCACAAACATTTGGTATGTTAAGGGATGTAATCATGACATTAGGAATACTACGTGTAACCAGTGGGGGACTTATGAGGAATCATGAGGGATGCAAAACACTCTTCCTTTCTTCCAGCTCAGACTCCCCCCTCGTTTCCCGCCCCCTCCTCGTTGTTGCTGCCTCCTTCCTGCAGTATCAGTATAACATCTTGGTTGCTGAGGAAACCCAAAATGATACCTGAAGTGCTGTGCTTGGCATTTTGCAATGTCAGCGCATACACAGAGATAACTACTAACCTTGGAGGTAGAGCACCTCAGTTCTTTTTCAGTCATATTTTTATGCACCTCTGGTGGTTCTCCTGGGTTTGTAAAACCCTGCGTAACAGCCATAGCTGGTGCTGTTGCATGGATTTGGCCATTCATATGGGGACCAAGCCTATAGTATTTGGTATAGTGAGGGGATTAGTATCTATGTAACTGAGGCTTAATAGTGGTACTGTTCTTTTACTTTATAACGTAAAAGATGGAATATATTCCGCCAGTCACTAAGTATATCGGGAGGCTCCATTCAAATAGTCAATAAACTGTGTGTGTTCTCCAGCAGGAGTGATTGGAGCCACTAATGAGTTTTGCATTGAATGGTAGCATGTTGCCAGTTGTAAGAACCAGCACCTCCACATGAACCCTGTACATATTGAAACCACAGTTCACATGATCGTGCTGGCTCTTCTTCAAGCACAGATATGCAAGTCAGAAAGCTGGTATAGGTGGTACTTCTGTGCAATTCCTGCTGGGCTGAGAGCCCCACATTCTCCAGTAGGTAATTTTATGGAGCCTGTAGACAGCGTGAGCTGAGCCAAACTCTTCAGATTTTGAGCACCTGCAACAATATATTTTTAAAGAGAAATATCTACAGCTGCACCTGTATGATGTAAAAATCCACTAAGGAATACATATACAACTTTTTAAGCAATATGTGCCTGAGCAGCTTTTTAAAACAAAACTTTTAACAGGGGCATCATTGGAAAGAATAAAAAGCAGTGAATATATATGGTGTCTGATTCAAAGAAATAAAACTGGGAGAAAATTGAAATTTTAGTTCATCATCGTAGCTTCTGTGCAGTCCCACATGGGACTGCAGTTTTGCAGGCCAGCCACAGAGAAGAGCTTCCAAGCTTTCTAAAGACATTTCTAGGCCCTAGGAGTCCTCCCCCTCCCCTCTGTCTAGAGAGATCCCTTTCCCGCCCAGTCACTCGGTAGCAGTCACTTCTGCCAGAAGGGTGGGGGAACGGCATGCACTTCACTGTGATCCTCCCTTTATCAAGTTTCATCCCAACAAGGTAGTGCTCAGACTCAGTATTGCATTTTTCCCCAAGGTGGTGTCACAATTTCACCTTAACCAGGACATCAACCTCCCAGTGTCCTTCCTTTCCTCGACATCACCATTGGAACAAACACAACACACTTTAAATGTGAGAAGGGCATTCCTTTTTTATTTAAAAAGGACAAAGGAATTCAGGAAAGATAGAAACTTATTTATATGTTTCAGAGGGAATAGGGGGAGGAGGACTTGGAGGAGGAGGATACCCTGCCCTTCAGTTGGAGTCTTAGGGTAGCTTACAGTCTCCTTCCTTCCTCTCCCCAGAACAGACACCCTGTGAGGTAGGTGGGGCTGAGAGAGCTCTGAGAGAACTGCTCTTGAGAGAACAGCTCTGAGAGAACTGTGACTCACCCAAGGTCACCCAGCTGGCTGCATGTGGAGGAGTGGGGAATCATAAGAACATAAGACCATAAGAGACGCCAATGTTGGATCAGGCCAAAGGCCCATCCAGTCCAACACTCTGTGTCACACAGTGGCCAGAAATACCAGTGCCATCAGGAGGTCCAGCAGTGGGGCCAGGACATTAGAAGCCCTCCCACTGTTGACCCCCCCCCCAAGCACCAAGAAGACAGAGCATCACTTGCCCCAGAACCCCTAGCTATACCTTGTGGCTAATAGCCACTGATGGACCTCTGCTCCATATGCTTATCTAATTCCCTTTTGAAGCCGTCCATGCTTGTAGCACCCACCACTTCCTGTGGCAGTGAATTCCATGTGTTAATCACTCTTTGGGTGAAGAAGTACTTCCTTTTATCCGTTCTAACCCGACCGCTCTGCAGTTTCATGGAGTGCCCACGAGTTCTTGTATTGTGAGAAAGGGAGAAAAGTACCTCTTTCTTTACCTGCTCTTTCCCATGCATAATCTTATAAACCTCGATCATGTCACCCCTCAGTCGTCTTTTCTCCCCTGAATGCCTCTCCCCTGGTAGGTTCCGTGACCATCTGCTCCATAGCACAGTCATTTAGAGGTCTAGAAACTCAATCTCTTTTTCCCGACTAGAACACATATTGACCCAATCAATGTGTGGGTAGTTAAAATCACCTATTATTACACAGTGTTTTTGTCTAGTTGCTATCTTTAAGGCATTCATCATTTTATAATCCTCCTCTATCTTTTGATCTGGTGGGCGATAACAAACTCCCAGTGTTAAGTTTCCTTTTGGCCCCCCTATTTCAACCCATAGAACTTCCAGAAGCGAATCCAATTCACTTAGCCTCTCAATCTTTCTAGACTTTATACCCTCTCTGACATACAGAGCTACCCCACCTCCAACCCTTCCCCCCCTATCCTTCCGATATAATATATAACCGGGAATCACTGTGTCCCACTGATTTTCCTCATCCCACCAAGTTTCAGAAATACCCACAATGTCTATTTTTCCCTCCCTCACCAAGCACTCCAACTCCCCGATTTTACCTCGGACACTTCTAGCATTTGTATAGAAACAGCTGTAATTTCCCTTACAAGTTAAGCCTGCATCCTTCCTCTTGCTATCTCGAGTCGTTGTCCGGCAGTCCATGTCACCAGCCATGGCCTCTGTGGACAATTTCAATCCACCTCCCTGTAGAAAAGCAACCGGTACCCCCTCACCTCTCTCAGATGAGCCAACCCGAACCAGAGACTTTTCATCTCCTGTCGGCTTTCCCCCAATATTCAGTTTAAAAGCTGCTCTGCCACCTTTTTGATTTTAAGTGCCAGCAGCCTGGTTCCTTCTCGGGACAAGTGGAGACCGTCTCGCCTGTACAGCTCCCTCTTGTTCCAAAAAGTATCCCAGTGCCTAACAAA